TATTTAACTTCTCTGTGTCTCAGTTTTCCCATTCTATAAACTGGAGGTAATATTATCTACCTCATAGGGTTATAAGGATTAAATGTGTTAGTATATGTAAAGCACTTAATGTGCCGGACATCGAGTAAATGCTCTAGAAGTGTTACCAAGAATTATCATCATCATTATTACTGAGTTCTATAAAGTTGAAAGCATAGAAAATTGTCGCTTTATTTTCTTTTATTGGTTAATAGTTATACTGTTGCTAATGTATAATACAGGTAACCCTTAAAGTCATTGATTTTTTTTTTGGAAGTATAGTTGACATATATTAGTTTCAGATGTACAACATAGTAATTTGACAGTTGGTTCTTTAAGTTCCAAGCTTATTAATAATAAAAATGTGTAGTTGAATCACACATATGTAGATATGAACTATCATGCCTGTATTTCATTTTATAATGTAGGCCAATTTTTCTGCTTCCATTTTCTCCTTCACAGTCACTACTGTTTAGGTACATTTATTTCCTTTCATTGCTTTTACCATTTTTTATTGTGAAATATAACATTCATATAGAAAAGTGCATAAAATAAATGTAGACTATAATTCCGAATTAAATCCTTGTGTAACCACTGTCGAACTTCAGAAATGGAATATAACCAGTTCTCCAGAGCCCTCCACATTCTGTTCACATATGCCAGATTTTAATTCCTCTTTCCTTCAGTCTTCTTTCCTTAATATCAGGCTAATATACCACCTACTTCATATGTTGTTGTGAGGATTAAATGAATTAAAATACATGAATAGCTTACAACAGTGCCTGCATGTAGTGAGACCCATAGTATATGATGGCTGTGGTTTCTGTGTGTTTTCTTTTTTGTCGTACTAGATCTGTGGGGTTTTTTCTTTCCTACTTAATGTGATCAAGATTAATTTAGATTTCTAAGTTATTTACTGCTTGTATTTCTGACCTTCTAGTTGTGAAAAATTTCCCCTTTAGACTTTTCTTTAGTGCAGGTCTATGTTTTGTCTGAAAATCTTTATTCTTGAAGAATGATTTCAATAGGTAAAAGATTCTAGGTTGGCACTAGATAGAGGATTTCATCATGTGTGAGATAATCATTACTCTGCCTTCTGTCTTCCATTGTTCTCTAGACAACACAAATATCAGTCTAACTTCTTTGAAGATAATCTAGATTTTTTTTTCTCTCTTTGGTCTTAAGATTTTTTTCTCTGTTTTAGGTTTTTGGTTGTTTTTTTTTTTCCAGTTGTACTATGATGTATCTTACTGTGGATTTCTTTATCGTGTTTGAGATTTGTGGGAATCTTAAATCTGTGGATTAGTGTCTTTCATCCAGTTTGTAAAAATTTTAGCCATTATTTCATCAAATATTGTGTATACCTCTTTCTTTTCTTTCTGGAACTCTGGTAAACATTATGATACCTTGTCCCTGTGTCCTCTGTCTCTTATTCTTTCTGTGTTTTCATCTATTTATCTCTAGCTGTCGCATTCTGAATAATTTCTTCAGAATAGTTTTCCAGTTCACTATCTTTCTTAAGCTATGAATGATCAGCTGCTAAATGAGTTTTTAATTTTAGTTTTTATTGTTATTATTGTATTTTATTTTTCACTTGTTGAAGGTCTTTTTTAAGTGTGCTATGTCACTTTCTAGTTTCTTATTCCCTGCTCATGTTTTCAAACTTGTGCTTTAGTTTTTTAACCAGGATAAGCATTGTTATGGATCTGATCATTCCAGTACCTTAAGTCTTTGTGGGTTTGTTTCTACTGTTCCTCAGGATGTCTTATCTGTTTGTGTATCTGGCTAGTTTTGGGTGTTATATTTGAGAAAATATTGAGGGATTAGTTTTGAGGCCTAGGATAGATACTTTTCTCCAGATAGAGTTTTCATTGCTCCTGCCAGGCACCTATAGAAGGTGGCTATCACCAGTCCGGGGTTACCTTAATTCAGCCCAGTTTAAGGCCTGTTATTCCTTCGAACATTGAGAAGACTTGGCGCTGAACTATAATTTGGTTTATTTTAATCTGAGGGTTATAGCCCTATAGGTTCTCAGCCTTGAAGATGGTTGGGGTGGGATTTATTAGATTCCCCACCTTTTGGGGGCCCAGATTTATTTTATAATTCTAGCTTCAGGAAGCTACGAAAAGGCTAGCTCAATTTTACAACTGATTCTTCTGTTTGGCAGATGTACTCAAGACAGAAGTGGCTTTAAGTATTGATGCATTGCTTATCTTACTTGCCTTCTGCATGTTTGCCACATATCCCTTACTTTCTTGTCAGCTCTTTACTGTTTTAAAAAAAAAAAAACAAAAAAACATTTTTTTACTTCATTGCCTAGAACAGCACTGTGAACATGGTTGATACCCTGTATATATCATTGCCTAATCTAAGGTCACAAAGATTTATTCTTGTGTTTTCTTATAAGAGATTTAGCTCTGTGGTCCATTTTGAGTTAATTTTTGTGTATGGTGTGAGGTGGGAGTCCAGTTTCATTCTTTTGTGTGTTAATACCCAGTTGTCCCTGCATCATTTGTTGAAAAAACTATTCTTTCCCCATTGAATTGGCATCTTACCTTGATGCCTTCAAAATACCAGGGTCAGTGGAACCTTAGGGTGTTGGCACTAACTCTTCCCTCTGTAAACCTTTTTGTTCTTTTTTTGTCATACTACTGACTTTTGCTGTTAGTCTCAATTTTACTTCCTTAGGGAGCCTCTCTTTCAGCATCTAATCTAAACCTGCTACCACAGTCACCATTATCACCATCTGATTTCAAATCTCTTCTTAGCATTTAACACCATCTGGCATTTTCAGTGTGTTCGTGTTGTTTACTTCTTTGTTCTCTGTGCCTAGAACAATGCGAGACACCTAGTTGCCATTTAAATCTGTGATAAATGAAGACTGTGTTTTGTGAAACAAGTGTGCCCCCTCCTAATTACTAATTTGTAGTTTCTTTTCTGGAAGTTGTAGAAGACTTAAGAACAAGATTTCAATTCTCAGCCTTTTTTTTTTTTCCCTTGTTATCTCCAGCTTCCACTCTCATCCTTTTCTTTTCTTTTTTTTTTTTTACATTGTATAATCCAAATGTGGTTGTGATATGGCCTTCTTATAAAATGTAGCTGGATTTGGAATGTTAATTTTTTTTTAAGGATATGTGAATTTCAGGAAAGAGAGTGGCCTGTAAATTTCCTTCCCTATAATGATCTTGTTAGACTTTTATAGCAAATTAAACTACTTTCATAAGGGGCATCTGGGTGGCTCCGTCGTTAAGCGTCTGCCTTCGGCTCAGGTCATGATCCCAGGGTCCTGGGATCGAGCCCCACATTGCTTCTCCCTCTTCCAATCCCCCTGCTTGTGTTCCCTCTCTCAGTGTCTCTCTCTCTCTGTCAAATAAATAAATAAAATCTTTAAAATAAAATAAACTACTTTCATAAAATGAATTGAAAGTTTTCACATTTTTCTTCTTTTCTGGAAGAGTTGGAGTAATTGTTATTCTTTCTTTCTTGAATGTTTGGTAGAATTTACGAGTGAAACAGCCACAATAAAGTTTTGTGGCTATGGATTTGATTTATGCAACAGATTTGGAACTATTCACACTTTTCATTTTTTCTTGAGACAGTTTTGATAACTTTTTGCCCTGGGAATTTGTGAATGTTGTCTAAAATTTCAAATGTATGTTATTTATAGCTTTTTTTTCCTTTCTATTTTTTTTTTAATTGAAGTATAATTAACATAGTGTTTTGTTAGTTTCAAGTGTATGATATAATGATTCAGGAATTCTGTTACTCGGTGCTCATCAAGATAAGTGTACTCTTAATCCCCTTTATTTGTAGATCTCATCATTTTTTAAAGAACATTTTAGACCTCTTTTTCAATGTACAGCATTACTAAATTGGCGAGACATAGAGAAACCATTTTTTTCCTTCTCTTATTGACTGGTTGAAAAACTAATAACGTTGCTAAAGGTAGCTTTAGACGTTACATATCTTCTATAAATGATGTTTTTAAATTTAATTTCTAAATTATAAAAATAATATAACCTATTTCAGAAAATTCGGAAAATGAAGGAAAAAAGCTGTTTATGATTAATCCTACCACCCTAACGTAAGCTAGGTTGGCATTTTGGGATATTTTCTTATACTATCTTTTTTAAATATTTGTAGACGCTTGACATTCACTAGGGTATATCCCAAGACCTTCAAAAAGCCATTTCAGCATGTAATTTAGCTTGTGGTGAAGTATGACTGAAATTTTTGATGTAATTATGGTGTGTGCTATATTGAATAATAAATAGGGAGTAGACAAACATATTTTAAGTAGTCAGTGCTAAATGGGCAACCAGATTCATTCACTAGCTTAATGACTTGATCTAGCATAGTTTTTGTCACTTTAACTTTTTGTTCTGAAATGTCTTTAGACTTAAAGAAGAGTTGCAAAGATAATAGCAAGAGTACCTGAATAGCCCTCACCTAATGTTAGCCTTTTACATGATCACGGTGCAGTTACCAAAACTAAGAAATCAACATTGGTGGTACAGCACTGTTAACTATAGACTTTATTTGGATTTTTACCAGTTTTATGTTTTTCTTTTTTCTGTTTAGGGATCCCACATTGCATTTAGTTGCTACATTGCTTTACTCTCCCCAGTTTCAGTCTTTGCTTTTTTCATGACTTTGACACTTTTAAAGAGTACTGATCAGGTATTTTGCAGAATGCCCTTCAGTTTGTTTGTCTGATTTTTTTCATAATTAGATGGAAGGTATGGGTTTGGGGGAAGACTACAGAGGTGCTGGGCCCTTCTTGGTGCATCATTTCAACATGATATTGATATGTCTTATTGGTGGTGTTATCCTCCTTGATCACCATATTTTTCTGTTGCTAAGTTACTATTTTTACATTTGTAATTAATATTTGAAGGGAAATACTTTGAGGCTTTGCAAATACTCTTTTTCTCCTTAGACCTTCGCCCACTAATTTTAGCATTCATCTGAATTTTGCCTATAGCAATAATTTTTAGATTGCCTTGGTAGTGGTTTTCTATTTCTCTTATGCCTTCTATATGTATTACTTGGGATTCTTCAAAAGCAAAAGTTGTCTCCTCTCATTTATTTACTTACTAATTCAGTCATCTGTTTCAGTGTGAATTTGTAGATATTTTATTCTCTGGGTTATCGTCCCATAGTATAATTATTTAGTTTCTCGCTCAAATTGTTCTAGTTTTGCCCATTGGGAGCTCTTTCATGTTTTCCTGGTATGAGAAGAGAGTCTGGGGTCATCTTTTGTTTTCTCTACCCCACCCCTAGAATCACCCACTTCTCCAGAGAGCCTGATTCCTTTTATTTAAGAATGGTATTTAGAAGCCAATATCTGGGCCCCAGATCTACTAATTACTAGTGGAGTATTACTCCTTCTGGGTTCTGTTGGTGGACAGAGCTGGGAAACATATGTATATGTATACTAACCCATGTATGCATATACATCTTTATTTACTTCTGTATCTGCCTATGTATGTGTTTTTAAATGACCAACAACAAGAACCATGATTTCATACTGATACTTCTGAGTTTAATCCAGCACCAGTATTCCTGCTCATTTATAAGTTCTTTCTTTGACAGTGAGAAAGCTCTCATTAGCTAAAGTATATTTACTGTATATGTTGTTATGCAACATACACAGTATTGATTATATGTATATACAACATATACAATATTGATAAATACAATTTTTATTTGTGCTTCAGTGAAATTATAAATTACTATGTATTGCACTCTGAAATTATTCTGGACTGTTCATTAATAACAAGGACAACTATATTTGTTATAATGTATGTAGAATTCTGGATACTTTAAAGGCATCTTAAAGAATGACTTTTAGAAAGGATTTGAAAATCAAGTGTGGTATTTCTGACTTGATCTTTTGTTTAATTATGGATTTATCATTTTATACATTTTGGTTATATGACAACAAAGTTATAGTCTTAAGCTTAGTTGTTTGGTGGAATTGCTTTGAAAATCTTTTTTTTCTTCTTCTATTTAATAGGTCTTAACTTGCAGAGTCAATTTAATCTGGAAAACGTCACTGTTTTCAATACCAATGAGCAGGAAAGCACCCTGGGTCAGAAGGTGAGGCTGATAAGAAATCTAACCTTATAAACGAAAACTTATAAATATCTAATCATATTTATAAGTGTATTACTAAGATAACTCCTGTGAATGGGTCTTCTAAGTCACCGAAAAATTTAAAAGCCTTTGTTTCTAACTTATAGAAATAATGTGTGTTCTGTGTAGAAAATGCACACAAAATAGAAATATTTAAAATAGAAAGTACAACTACCCCATAATCTAAGGCCCCAAAGATAACTACTCTTAGCATGGTCTATCTGTCTTTACAGGACTTACTGTGTGTGTAGTTTTATTCCAAAAATGAGGTCATACAATACATATTGTTCTGAAATTCACTTTCTTCTTTTAACAGTATAAAATGGATGCATTTCTGTATCAGTACATTTAGATCTTAGTGTTTTAATGGTTCATGTTAAGTTTTCTAAGTGGATATTTATCATAATCCTGTCAATGGGCATTTAGATAATTTCTAATAGTGAAAAATGGTTAACAGCATTACAATGAATAGTACTGTATATATCATTGCTAAATTATGCAGGTGTTTCCTTAGGATAAATTCCAATAAATGAAATTGTCAAAATGGGTGTGTATATCAGATTTTGATAGCTGTTGACCAGTTACTTTTCAAAAAGGTTGTACTCATTTATATCATCACCAGTGGCACTTGGAGAATGCCTGCCCATTTTCCCACATCATCATGCCAACCCTGGGAATTACCAATTTTTAAAAATTTTTGCTTAATTGATAGATACTTGAAAAGTAAATCTTTGTTTTGACTTACATCCTTGGTTATTAGTGAAGTTGAGGGACCTACAATATGCTTATTGGAATTTATTTTTCTTCTGTGCCAGTTAGAAGCATTGAGGAAAAAAATTACCTATTCAAGCCATTTGCCCATTTTACTTTTGCAATGTCTTTTTCTTACTGATGTGTAGAAGCTCATATTGAATATTATTAATTCATTGCCTACCTGCTTGTTGATTTTTTTTTTCTCGGTTTATAGCTTTTCTTATAACTTTATTTATGGTGTCTTTGCTGTATAGAACTTTTAAATTTGGATATAATATTAATGTTTGTTGGTCTTTTGTTTAGTTGTTTCTGGTCTTGTGTCATGCTAAAGGCTTCCACTCCAGAAGAATATATAAGCCCTTTTGTTTTCTTTTGATGCTTTTATGGTTTATTTTTTCTTTTAAATCTTTAATCCAGCATGAATGTTGGTATATGGAATAGGTTGAGTTATAATTTATTTTTTCCAAATAGTGAGCCAGTTATCTCAGAACCATTTGTTAAATAATCCATATTTGCCCACTGATTTTTTAAAACAACATCAGGTATAATCAACTTTATTTTTAAAGATTATTTATGGTATATCCAGAAGACAGTACAGAGTTGGCAAATTTCTGGACATTCAATACTTGTTCTTCATTTAGGAACAAGTTATGAAGTTTTAAAAATTATCAATTAGATATAACTAATATCTCACTGTAAATTAGATTATTTTATATAATTTGTTCCTTTAAATGTAATTATTATCAATTTGGAAATGATGTTGACTTAAGATTTTTAAAAATTTTGTCTTTCACCGATACGTATCTTTTGGTACTTCTTGGACTATTTCATGTAAACTTGTTATTTTGAATTTCTCACTATAGAGCTAGACACTCAGCGAATCCTGAAGTGTTCCCCAATAATAAGAGTTCTCTGCTGGGTTGGGGAGAATTTCTATGGTCAAATTAAAGTTGGGGACAAAACTACTTAAGTATACTTTGAGTTATTTACTGCAATTCTTAGAGTTCTTAATATACTAATGATCTTCTCGGTTCTCTAAAAGGTCATTGTAATATATTTCTAAAATGTATTTTGCTGTAGACCCTTTATTCCCATAGAGAATCTACAGAACATGTTTGGAGAAATACTGATTTAAAACTTTCTACTATATCTTCATGACTATCTTATATCTTTGTCATATTGCTCTTGAGGTCTCAGATCCTTGTCACATAGAATTGCCATTGCCTTGAAGATTAACTGTAGGTCTAGACAGAAGTGCAACTAGATTTCTCTAACAGTGTTTGTCTAGTTATGTGTGAATGATATTATTCCAGCATGTCTTCTGCCTGACAACTGCTTTGTGACAGACTGTACATTTTTTTAAATTTAGCACACTGAGGATAGAGAAGAAGGAATGGATGTAGAAGAAGGTGAAATGGGAGATGATGAAGCTCCAACAACTTGGTGAGTTTTAGAAGTTTAGAGTTCGTGATTTACAAAACTGGTACCTTAATAACTTATCAAGTACTAGTATCAGCATATACACAAAGGAAGGAAATTATGCTTAGAGATTTCTTTTATTTGTATCTTTTATGTATATTACTTAAAATTATAAATCCTAAATCACTAATAGGCTCTGTTAGTTGGTTTCTAAATTACATGCAGACAGTTCATTATTTACATGGCCTACTTTATGCATATTCCTAACATTTGGAAAGCCAACCATAGGCAACCTAGGCACTCCTCCCCTTTTTCCTTGCATTTAACTTTGTGGACCCAGTGCCTCTGGATAATGGGAGCTGAGTTTTTAATGAAGTAGGAGGAATAAGTAACCGCCTTTCCGTCTTCTCCCCTTCCCACTCCCATCTCCTGTTTCCTATTCCATCTGCTAACTCTGTGCTTTCTTTTCAAATAATTTCTTCCTAATGCTGATTAGAAGCAATGAGGAAGAGAAAAAGGGAGCTGTGAAGGAAAATTTTCACTTCCAGGTGTCTGAGGTGACAAAAGTTATCATCCGTTGCAGTTGAATTTCTGGAGGATCAAGAAGAGTTTCCAGGGGTGCCTGGGTGGCTCAGATGGGTTGAGCATCTGCCTTCGGCTCAGGTCATGATCCCAGAGTCCTGGGATCAAGCCCTGCATCGGGCTCCCTGCTCAGCGGGAAGCCTGCTTCTCCCTCTCTCACTCCCCCTGCTTGTGTTCCCTCTCTCACTGTGTCTCTCTCTGTCAAATAAATAAATAAAATCTTAAAAAAAGAAGAAGAAGAAGAGTTTCTAGTATCTGCACAGGGAGACACATTCCTGGCATCCCAGATTTCATATCAAACACATATCTCCAAAGAAGCATTGAGAGTAGTGTGGCTCCAGGCTGAATTCCAGTCCTAGTCGTGTAACCTTAAGCAAGTTACCTAACTTCCCTGCAACTCAGTTTCAGTGTCTTTAAAATGTAGTAATGCCACCTACCTGCTTGTTGAGATTATTAAATGAGATGCTGCTTGGACATGGTCTGTTAAGGTACAACGTAGTTATCCTTATTGTTACCATAGTTGTTGATGTTACATATAGTGATATATGGAAAGCGCTAGAACAGTGTTTATTCAGTAGCTATTATTACTAGCTATAGATCTGTGTTTTGGGTTTGGTTTTATTTTAAGACCTATTTGTTCATGTACATTATGGATAGAATATACTTTTGGTGTCTGGCCTGAGCAGCATAAAGGACCAAGGTAGTAGGCTCCAACATAACAGGTCACCTGAAATATAAAAAGAGCCCCCAAAGACAAACTGCCCAGTGCAGTTTTGTCTAGTCAGACTTTGCTGAAGCCTTTATAGATATGTCAGCCCCATTAATTGTTCGTAAGCTAGTCCCAATTGCAGAAAAATCACTTAAACAGGATTCAGCACTCAGCTGTCTCTCAGTCTGTCACAATCATTATATTTTCTCTTTTTTTTTGTTGAAATGAAGTTGACATACAATATTACATTAGTTTCAGGTATACAACATAGTGATTCAACATTGTACACATTCGGAAGTGATTACCAGGATAAGTCTAGCTACCGTCTGTCAATCATACGATTACAATATTGTATTTTTGACAATATTCCCTATGCTATACTTTACATTCGAGTGACTTACTTATTTTAAAACTGCAAGTTTTACCTTTTAATCCCCTTCACTATTTTTTGAATGGAGACAGAGATTGGGAAATTACTTTGTGACCAGCTGTATCACCAGATTGTCTTAGGCACTGTAATTTACAAAGAGCACATTACCCATGTATCTACAGTATGAAGCCCATTTCAGATTTGGCTCAACTACACCAGTAAAAAAGTTTGTATTAAAAAAAAAATTCCAATGTAATGTTCTATAAAATCACTAATTCAGCATTTAAAAAAATATGTCAAGTTGCAGAACATCTTGGTTAAAATAGTTATGAAACATTCTATTTTTAGACAGTAACTCTCATTTTAATTTGTTATGGTTTGCATATATAATAAGTAATCACATTTGCTTTGTGTGGATGAATACAGAATCCAGATGTATCTGTGGAAAGGTGAAGTTAGAAGGCAAATTGCAGTGGGTCAGAACATTAAAGGAGGGTAAAGAAGTGGTGACATTGAGTGTAGACTGCTCTTTCAAGATGTTTAGACGTGAAGGAAAAGCCATGGAGGCACAGCATGGATTGGAACTTCCAGAGGAGAGGATTTTTTTAAAATGTTAGTGCCTCAACTATAAAAGTTTCCTATTAACTTCCTCTTCCTATATTAATACTACTTTAAAATTTCCTCTGTGAAGCACCTCAAATAAATACTAGGCCAACTAAAAATAAAAGGAGATCAGAAGCTTTTACAAGTAGGAGATGATAATTAACACCTTAGATTATTGTTAGTATCAAGCATTAAATTAAGATGTGAGTTTTCTGGCAACTGAGACAGTAATGGAACATATAATGGTTACGTAATTCTCATTATCTGATTAGAGGTAGTGTCCCATTTCTTAACAGGCAAACTTTCCTTGTACTGCATTTCAGGAGGTGTTTATTATATTCTTATATGTGGTAACTGAGTAACATTGTGTGTGTGTGTGCATATAACTATATATATATAAAACTATATAAAATCTTCAAAAGCAGTTTTGTTTCAAAAACATTATTAAGTGTATGGAACTACACATATATCAGTTACAGTATTATTTCATGGGTGTAAATCATTTTATATGTGGCTTTTTCTTTTTCCAATTTACTTGCACATTTTGGAAAATATTCCTTTTGTGGCTTTGGTTTTTTGGTGTGTGTGGCTTTTTTTTTTTTTTTAACTTGATCTGTAGAAAACCCAGACTTATAATCTTGTTATAAATCAATGAAATCGCTTCAGTTATAGAAAATAGTTTATATCAGTTGATGTCCAGATCATTGTTTTCCTGTTTTCAGAGTTGTTACTAGGAAAGAGTGTAGAAGGAGTGAAAGTTAACATGCCCATTAGATTCTTTCAAATACTGCTGGTTCTTGATAAAACTTTTCGCAGGAGCTGGATTTTGGTCATTTAAAAGTTGTCAGTATTCTTCATTATTGATTTGAAACAAGATCCACATGTTTCAAATACTAGTAATTGCTCTAGCAAAGTTAGCGTTTTTTTATCAAAATTAGCTAGCTTGCTTAATTATTTACCTTTATACGTAATTCAAAGCGACTGTAATCTGAGTAAGTACCTAAGCATAATTTCAAGCCTCTTTTGTAAAATAAAGTGCATGCATGCACTCTGTGCCTGCTGTTTCCTTGCAGACCAAGGGCTTTTTCAGTTATTGTCAAGTTCACAGCTTTGTTCCAAACAGTTAACAGTTGTCAGAAGTGTGAATGTAAGATAAGTGATCTGTTACTATGTGTTTGGATGTATGTGGTTTTTTAAAATTGATATGGCAATTAATATAAATTTAATAAAATTCTTTGAATAGGTATTTTATGATACCACTTGTAGTTTGTAATCTTAACCATATGTGAATTAGAGTCATACAGTGAGAATGTTCATCAAATGTGCTTCCATATGTTATACTAAACTACTTTTCCCTTTGTCATTCTTAACTAATGCCTTTTCAAACATTTTTGTAGAAAACTGATTTTTACACTAGCAGATTATTTTTTGCTTTTCTACTCTAACCTTCCTTTATATAAAGTAAGGCATTTTTCAGAGTTTTAAACATTACCCTCCCCCCTCAAAAAAACTTAAAAAGTACATGACAAAAATCATACTCATTTTACTTTACTATAATCCTTTAAAATGCATTATGATATGGCCCCCAATACTCCTTAGTCATTAAAGTAGTTTTAAATATATCCATCTCAAAGATGAAGAGTGGAAGATTACTTACTTCCTATTATTGACCAGAATAGAGAAGGTAAGACTCTTAATATCATAGTGATCGTTAAACCCCCTTCCTGTTTCCCACATGAAATTACAGTCTTCCTTGGATGATGTTTAGAAAAAAATGCTAACTAATCCATAGATTCAGTTTATTAAGGTTTATTTAGAAAGAATAGAAGGTAGTACACAATTGTGTTTACAAATAAAATTAATTTTACAGAGGTGATGTTGAAAATTTTTGTGGATATTTGAAGATATGAAATAGTCAATACCTAAAGCATTTTTGATAATGGCTGTTTTGAATGATACAGAAGATTTTGTTAAAAACAAAAATCTTTTGGGTAAAAAAGTCTGAAATGTTTAACTTTTAAAATTAAAATGTAATATAATTTTGGTAAATTTAAAAATTAAAAGAACGTATTGACACTGCAGGTTTGTAACAGTGAAATTGCAAGTTGAATTAGTAGTGCTGTAATAAAGACACTAAAGAAAAGGCTTATTTTTATAATACTGAGTTGATATGTATTTTACATATTTGTGTCACGCTGTGGCTTTTAGCATAGGTTCCAGGTGACATTAGCTTAAACAATGTGGAAGTTGATTTCTTCTTTATGGAAAAGTCTGGAGACAGGCAGTTCAGAGCTGGGAGATTGTCTAGGGACCTATGTTCCTCCTAACTTCTTGTCCCACCATCTCTTAGTGTTTGCTTTTTCTTTCTATAGTCCATGTGGCTCATCATCATATCTGCATTCTGGCCAGCAGAAAGGGAAAAAGGAAAATGGTAAAATATGGCCCAAAATTTGCACATATGACTTCTACTCCCAACCAGCCAGAATTTAACTACGGGGCCACACCTAGCTGCAAGAGACGTTGAGAAACAGTCTTTAATTCTGAATAATCATGTATTGGGCCACAATTCAGGGGTTCTATCACTCTAGATAAAGTGGGTCTTGTTAGGGTCTATGAATCCCCTGAAATTGTTTATAAAAGTTTGTATAAGTATGAATATGCACTTCTGTGGGGAAAGGAGCTATAGCTTTCGTCAGCTTCTTAAAGGGGTGTATAACTTAAGAAAAGGAGCACTTAGATATTTCTAAAAGAAAGTGATTTCTTTAACATAACATTTATTTTATTAGCTCCATTCCGATTGATTACAACCTGTATCGAAAATTCTGGTCACTTCAGGATTACTTCAGGAACCCTGTGCAATGCTATGAGAAGATTTCATGGAAAACTTTTCTTAAGGTGAGTTGCCAATCATAGACTACCCAAAACCCAATATTTTACAGTTAATGGCAGAGGCAAAACTTGACTCTTATCCAGCATGCTTTTTATTATATAATTTTACCTCATACATTTTTATGCCTATTTCATAATGTTAAACCACTGATTTTGTGGAGTAGTTTATAAATGACTTAGGGATTTAAAAGTTCATAATTACAGCCTTGGGTTTTTTGTTTGTTTCTACATAGTATTGTCAACATGAATTGATGAATTTTTGTCGAATATATTGTCTTGTCTTTGCACAAAATTATTTCAAGTATCCTGTTAGAACAAGGGTTGCAAACTAATGGCCATGGGCCAAATCCAGACTTTGCCTGTTTTTGTAGACAGTTATATTGGCACACAGCCATGCTAATACTTGTAGCTGTTTGTGTGCTGTAATGGCAGACTTGAGTAGTGTAACTGAGACCATATGAGCCATATAGCCTATGAAAATTAATAGAAGGAAACCTCATTTAAAATGGAATCAGGAGTGGGGCGCCTGGGTGGCTCAGTTGTTAAGCGGCTGCCTTCAGCTCAGGTCATGATCCCAGGGTCCTGGGATCGAGCCCTGCATCTGGCTCTCTGCTCAGTGAGAAGCCTGCTTCTCCCTCTCCCACTCTCCCTGCTTGTGTTCCCCTCTTGCGGTCTCTCTCTCTGTCAAATAAATAAATAAAATCTTTAAAAAATAAAATAAAATAAAATGGAATCAGGAAGCCAGCATGGAGACTCTCACATTCAGCACTAGTTGTCATTTGCAGAGCCAGCTGGAAGAGATGGACCTTGCCAGTCAAAGTACTTTACTATCCCAACAGAAGAAAGGAAGATTTCTTCCTCTCCCAGCAACAGCCCAGCCAATGAGAGGCAGTCACAGCTCAGTCAATGAGAAGCCACCATACTTGGAACTCCCAGTTTACTCCAATGGACTTTTAGTTTATAACAGCCCCTCCTAACTCCTCCTTTCCTCTATAAAAGAGCAATCGTCTTTGTTTTCCTGGACCTGCAGCTTGCTTGTCCCAGATTACAATTCTTAGCTATTCCGAAATAAACACATTTTTTTTGCTGGTGAAATAACTGGTGGTTTAATTTTATTTTAAGAGATTTATTTTAAAGAGAGGGGGAACACAAGCAGGAGAGGCAGAGGGAGAGGAAGAAAGAATCTCAAGCAGACTCCACCCTGAGCACAGAGCCTGAGGTGGGACTCGATATCAGGACCTTGAGATCATGACCTGAGCTGAAACCAAGAGCCAGATGCTTAAGACTGTACCACCCAGGCGCCCCTGGTAGTTTTATTTTTAAGGTTAACAAGCTTATGGGCACCTTGGCAGGCTCAGTCAGTAGAGCATGCTACTCTTGATCTCAGGGTTGTAAGTGCAAATCCCACTTGGGGTGTAGAGATTACTTAAAAATAAAATCTTAAAAAAAAAAATAAAGTTTAATGTACTATCAGGAAAAAAAAAACTGGGTAGTTCTTGTTTTGTAAGAATTCTCTATATTTCTTTTACTTGGCTACTTAAATATCAGTTGTCCTTTTTGGTTGTAGTCAAAATCCAAGGTAAATAGGTAGCTCTTAAAAGTGGCACGGTATGTGTTCAGATTAAGTGATGAGTGAGAAATCATCCAGAATTGTTCCCCAACTGGGGGAACAAATCCGATAGGATTTGACATCATTGTTTTATTTGGTCACAGCGTTTAGCACAAGAAATGCTTGAGCATTTTCCACAGCTGGTTAAACATCTAATTTCACTGGTAAATTTCTGTGTACTTTCGAAGCATTACTTTCTCTGTTTGCCGCTTACACAAACTGCGTAAGAAATTACCTTTTTTCAGGAGTAGAGAGTTTATTCCTACTTTGACAATACCATGAACTCTTCATACCAAGTAGTTTTAATCCCATTTTGCCATCATAGTTTTTTCTTGTTTAATGTGCTTTACAGTGTGCATACGTGGTTAACTATGAGTAAATTCTAGGTATTTTGATATAGAAAGGCACTAAAAAAATTATTGGGCAACAATGCCAAATAAAACTAATTGGTATTTCTACTTTGCAGTATTCTGAAGAAGTTCTAGCTGTTTTTAAGAGTTATAAATTAGATGACACTCAGGCCTCCAGGAAAAAGATGGAAGAATTAAAAACAGGAGGAGAACATGTATATTTTGCAAAATTTTTAACAAGTGAAAAGGTATAAATTTTTCTTTTTTACTAAGCATAATAAATAGTGGTCTTTTTTTTCTATTTAACTGATATTTTTAAGTTAAGTTTCATAGAAATGTTTATTTTTGGTTAAAGCTGATAAGTATTAGTTTGAGAGTCCTGTGAATTCCTTGCACAAGTAAGACTAATTTGATTCCAGAGGTGAAAGAAGTTGTTCTGCATTGTCTGTTTTGTAGGCTTATTTTGCAGTTTAATTGTTTTTAGGTGTATATATTTTGAACCTCGAGTTAGGATTTAATTTGCATTTATGAAAACAATATTTTGTAATTAGTTTGTCATTTAGGTACAAATAAGGGGTTTAAACATTCCCTGATAATTTTATTTATACAGTTTAATCAGTAAATTTTGTTCAGATACAATGCTAAGGGATTATGTAAATTTTCCAGTCAAAATGGCACATTAAGTGTATGTTTTGACTTACTCCCTTTGCTCCAAACACATAGAAATGGGAGGTAAAATATAAAAGGAGAAAACCGGGGCGCCTGGGTGGCTCAGTCGTTAAGCATCTGCCTTTGGCTCAGGTCATGATCCCAGGGTCCTGGGATCAAGCCCCGCATCGGGCTCCCTGCTCCGTGGGAAGCCTGCTTCTTCCTCTCCCATTCCCCCTGCTTGTATTCCCTCTCTCTCTGTGTCTCTGTCAAATAAATAAATAAAATCTTTTAAATAAATAAATAATGAGAAAACCAAAAGACAAAGCTGGCCCTCCAGAAACAAGAAAAATATCTTAATGGACTAGAAACACCAAGTAGTGAGTGAAACTGAAAACTCGGGCCTGCTGGCCTCATCCCAAGCAGGTGGTGGCACCCAAGAGTTTGGCTACAAGTGATAGACACCAGTGTGTTTCATGTGGGACCAGGGACCAGAGCCAGATTCATTGCTTAAAGGCGGGAACTGGGGTGGAACTTTACCCACTTTTGAAAAGAAGCTAAGAAAAAATGTTACCAATCTTCTGCCCAGGGCTGTGGATTCATAGGAAGCTTTGGGTGAAGGGATAACAAAGACACAGCTTTGTGTCAAGCTTTGTGTCAGCTTGCTCTGGACTGGATATATGATATACATAATATACCAATGAAATAGTTGGCTTCAGAAATTCATCACAGGACTTTTTCCAAACTTGACTCCAGGGGCTCTGGTGGAAGCAAATGCAAAACTACTGACAAGAAAGGATGTACACAGGGAGAAAGAAGAAGTAAACAAAGCAAAAGGCTCTCATTCAAAACTCTGATACATTGCAATTCCAAAATTCATAAAGAAATTCAATACTAGGAAAGATCACCAACCAAATCAACTATTGGGATATACATATATTTATTCCAGATAGACGGCTTGACCATGACTTCAAAAACTTTAAAATAAATGTTTTAGATAATCAAAGAGATAATTGATGATATAGCATCCACTGAGAATGAATAAATTGTGAAACTGAAACAGGCAGAAATGAAATAGAATGGTTGAATATGACAACTAATTGAGAGACTTAGATATGAAAAATGTGATCATCAAAACCAAAGCAGAATATACAGAATTAAACTATAGATTGGATATAGATGAAATGAGAACTAGTGACCAGAAGATAATGATAAGAAGTTCACCTAGAACACACAGAAACGGGGGTGGGGTTTGTTAACTTGAAGGAGCAGTTAAGAGCAATGCATGGTCGATTGTGAAATTCCAGCAAATATCCAATAGGATTTTTAAAGAACAAAATAGAGGGAATGGTGGGAAAACTATATTGAAAAGAATTAAAGGTAATACCAAGTTCTCAGATTAAAAATATGCTACAACTACCAGCAGGATAATGAAAGTTAAATTCATACTTCAATACATCATGCTATAACTCCAGGGATAAAGAGAAAACCTTAAAAACCACCAAAGGGGGGAAAAAAGACAAATATACTAGAAAGGACAGAAGACAGTGAGGAATTATAGTACTAAGGGGAGAGGACAGGACTATCAATCTAGAATTTCATACCCAGCTAAATGTGTTCAAGACTATGGGCAAAATACACATTTTCATTGACCAGGAAAACATACCACTCAAGACCCTCTTTTTTAAAAACTACTAAAGGATGTTCTCCAGGAAGAAAGAAATTGAACCTGTAAGAAAGGAGTGGGATACAGAAAGCAGTGGTGACCACAAAAATGGAAAAACAGTAAATTTATTGATTAAAAACAAAACTGTCATAAAAACTGATTTTTAAAAATCCTATTGTGGAATTTAAACTAGATGACAATAATAACATGGGAAGGAAAAACAGATGTTTAATGAGCAATTTAAGCATATACTTCAATCCTCATAATCTTCTGGAGGAGGAAAGAAATACTGAATAACTTTAGACTTCATCATATGTATTAAAAGAGTACCACCAAAAGAAAACAACCTGTAGCTCTTAAACAGCAAAGAGCTAAAAGGGGCACAGGAAGGAATATAGACTATTTTGTAAACCCAACTGATAGCAGGAAGGGAGGGGAAAAAAAAAAAAAAACAGAAAGGTAGAAATAAATCCAAATATATCAATAATAGCAAGTGTAAACAGATTTAAGACAGATTATCAGAATGGATTTTTTTTTAAATCTGGCCATATTTATTAATTGAAACATATAAAAACTCTTTGGTTGAATAAAGAAAAAATTTTTGTTTTACCCTATTTAGAAGAGGGGAAGAAAATCCCAAAGCTCTTCTAGCTTTAACAAAGAACCTTCCTAAAGACACACTTCAGAAAGCTTAGATGTCTATTTAAATAATACTGGGGCAAAAAACTTCCAAAATAAAACCAGTGAAAGTTCTGTATACTTTTAGGAGTTACAAGTAACATTTTTCAGGACATGACAGCTGCTTCAAAACTCTGGATGTTGTTAAAGTTCTTTGTATAAATAACATTTCCAAGGACATTTTAATAATAGAAAACAACAAGAATACACACTTTGAGAGAAATCTCCACATTGGAGTATAAAATCTGTGCCTTTGTACTGGTTTCCATTTACCACTTGGTCTCAGAACTGGCTCTCTGAGTGGTTTCTTTATTGACTCTGGAGCTTTTTTGACTAGCAGTTAGGAGAACATGAGCTTTCCAGGGTTAAGCTCTGGAATTCTGTTACTTAACACCATGAGGGGTAAAAGCAGCTTTGAGAAGCTTCATACTTTATAATATGGAAAAGAGGAAAGGCACAGAGAATTGTAACAAAGAGAACGTGAAGCATGTAATGTTTTGTATCTTCAGTTTTCTTCTTTACTGCCTCTTAAGCAACAATTTTATCTTAAATTTAGATCTGTATAAGAACCCTTCTTGCACATTCTTCATATTTTTACAGTGTATTTCCAGTGTTTACTACTCAGTATCCAAGTGAAAATATGTGTAGTGCACTACCTGTACTTTTAATGAAAAGTATGCACCATTTTATAAGTTTTCCTGTTCCACTGAAAGAAGCCTTCCACATCTCTATAATACTTTACATGATGTTTTAAATCCATTTGATATACTCGCACATCTAATGGGAATGTTATTACCCAGAAGCATTGTGTTTTGCTTACATGAATGTGATCATACTTTTCCTTAGGGAGGGAGAATCAGTATCAGTGCATGGAAAGGATGATACAACCTTTAGAGTTCTAGACAGGCCAGTTATATGGTAACCACAGGTAGGCATGGGTTCTACAAATAAAGTAGGTGTCTTTGTAAGTTATCATACCTTCTTTCTCAAAGAGGGATATTTCCCCTAGAAACAAGTGGTATTGTAATTTTCAAGGGCCACTTTTTTATGCTGCCTTGGGTATGATTGCAAACACTAAGTTCTAACAACACAGTTTTCTTGTTAGCATAGTAAAATAATTCAACAATAGCAGTCACTAAATGTAGTGCTGAGGACTTTGGGGTTTTTTGTTTCTTTTTGGTTTTTTTGGTGGAGAAGTACCTGTTCCTTAAGATTAGTCCAGAGTCATACTCAGAAATATTTAAGGGAGAATTTCACCTCTAATTGTCCAATTTATCATACCCACGTGAAAGGCACTGGTATTATAGAGATTCCTCCTTCAGCACTATGTAGCATGTAAAAGCAGAACCAACATTTTAAAATATTTAAGTACCATGATATTAACATGATAGTTAAAAGAATGTATTCTGGTATCTTTGAGTTCTCATAGAAAAGAGTACTACTAGTAACTAGGTGTAGACATCAGGATTGCCCACTTCTTCACAGCACTAACTCCTGTTCCCTGTACAGTTGAGACTCAGTTTCCAAATGGAAAAGATCAGGTGGAATATTTGGCAGCCAGCAGTTACCAGGGTGGCTGCCCAGAGTCCCAAACTACTGATCCTAGTGTGGTCATTAAGGCCATTCTTGTTCATGGAGAAAAGAAAATTAACAACCTGCCCAGACTCTGCTTTGTGTGCAGAACTCTCAAAGACTTTTGGTCATTTAAAAAAGCATTCCTGGCAGAAAGTTGTTCTGCCTTAACTTTTTTGTACTTTCTGTATCCATTTGAGAGGTATCCGAGGTTGAATCTTTGCAATGAATGCAAAGATGGGTGTATTCCTTTATGACACATATTACAGCTTACTTAGGAACAAACAGCCTAATCCGTATCCTATAATTTTGTCTCATTAGTTGTTTCATGGGAGCCTCCCTTTAAACAGGTCTGGGAAGTTTTTGGACAGCTCTAGAACATGGCTTAGTTTTCTTTGTCTGCAGGCCAGAGATAGAGCCAGCTCTCCAGCAAATTCCAGGACTTTACAGTGAGGTTCTTGTAGGTCATTATCATGGTCTGAAATTTAAATAGAAACTAGATTGTTGGACCCTGTGCCTTGAGAGAAGAAAGTTGATAGCAGAGGCTGTTAAATAGGCAGGGGCTGACATTGTCTTTTAGTTCCAAGATGGAAGAAGGTCTTATATTTTAAAAATCATATAAGGACTCAACAGCTCTCAGCAGGATTGGAGCGGTATTTTCTACTAACAAAACTTGATGTAAAT